AGATAAATCCTCAGTAGAGCCCTGGAAAAGTGAAGTTCCTAGACCCTATTCCCAATAGAGTTTTCCTCAAGCAGGAGAACGACAGAAATCAACATTCCCCAGCGGAGTCCTCCTCAGACAGCAGGAACAAGAATCACCATGAAGAGACCCCTTATGAAGTTAATATCTACTTTATATGGCATCTTTAAGACCATCTCTTACGACTCTCAGTTATCTTCTCCAAATGGCATCTAAAAGCCCATTCCTAACATCATCAACCATTAGTGTTACTTCATGCTAGTGCAAATTTCTGGGCACTCTAGTGTTCAATCCTCTTCCACCTTCAGATCACGAAAGGCAGATAAGCCAATATAAATCCTCAGGTCTATGAAGATTGAACAGGGGAAGCTGTTGTACCCCAAAATTTGTCCTCCCATTTTTACTCAAGACATGCTCCTAGAGGTCCTCAATTGCTCAAGGTTGGCCAAGAATTGACCAGACAAATTCTCCTCCTAAGCAATGAACCTCTAATTAGGGTTTCACTTTTTATCAAGGTGTTTTGAGCTCCAAAGTCTCAAATGTTTTCCATTGTCCTGATATGCCTTCAAGATTGTCCATGACAAATTTCATGCCTTACACTAAAAGTTTTCTCAATCAATTGCTCAAAGGTTTGAAAATCAACTATACTAGGTCAAAAGTCAACTGTGGCCCATATACAATCAAACTTCAAGAATTTTGGTCAACATCCACATTTTGAAGTGATACCCATCAGTTGATAAAGGTTTCATCATGATTCTTCAAGGAATTCTCTTAATTTATCAAAAGTCAAGACTTGCTAAATTAGGGTTTCTATAGGTAAAGTCAACTGAACTTTGACTAGGCATAACTTTCACATACTTCATCCATTTTGCCCCAACCAAACTCATTTTGAAGAGAATCCAATTACCTAAAACTTCTCTTTTTACCTCAAGTCCAAGAAATGCACCATTTGAAAGATACAAGCTCATATATTACAGGTCATTTTCAGAAAGTCAACAAAAGGCACTTTTTGTCAAGACCATTTATATCAAGATAAAGTCTTCAAATGCAAAATTGATCAAAAGAGGGATTGAAGTAGACGTCTTGGTATTTCCAAAAAGTCCAAGTTTCGCGTCATCTTCCCACTGAATTTTTTCATGGACATCCCAAATAACACATTGAGAGTGTCCCCTGAGTTTCGTAGCATTTCAATAAGCCCTCGGTTTATTTTCAATTTCCGACCGGAATGCGTGCGTATGCGGTTTTTCCAAGAATAGAAGCGCAGGCAAACGCGCCTTTGGAGAATAATTTCCCGCTGATTTTTTGCATGGACATCCAAAATAACACAATGAGAGTGTCCTTGATGTTTCATAGCATTTCGATAAACCCTAGGTTTATTTTGAATT